ATGGTCCTTAGCCTTCAAAAGCTTAAAGATATAGCAGATACAGTCTTCTAAAAAGAAGACTGTGGAAGATCCAAAAAGCCAGGCAGAAAAGGTTGGATGACTTGGGACACATTAGTGACATGAGGAAAGTAGTGTTTATAGAAGTTTAATCTGACTGAGATGTTCAGTTATTGCAGGTTGGATAGTCATTGCGACATTTCTTTGGGGCCTCCCAGGAACCACATCAAAGTACCGTGATCCATCAGTGCCTAGGAATCAAGTACGAAAGGAAAACTGATGTAAGAAGTAAGTGGGAGAGACTTTTTAGGGGTAAATATATCCCTGAGTGTCCCTTAAATTTTAATTGAAAAAGTATATTAGCAAATATTTTTACATTTGTAAATTGAGAATAGTGATTGTTTTTGCCTTTTTAGGGTTATGAGTGTGAGAGTGAAATAGCTTTGGTTAAGTACACAGAGTAGGCTCTCAATGACTTCTAGCTCTTTGAACTACATTGGCAGGATAAGCAGCAGGTGGTAGAGTGGCAAGATCACTTCATTTGGAATCAGACAATACCTTGATGATGCACTCAGGATCTAAATTGGGTGTGGTCTTGGGCAAAGAAAAATAGGCTCTGGCTGTAGTTTTTCACTTGTAAACAAAGGAGTTCATTCTAAATGGAGAAAGTGGTAATCATTAAGAAGGCACATGGTATGCAAAGTTATGAGGAAGAAGCAGTTAAAAAAGGAAGGGGAGAAGGAATTGTCCAGAAATCTACTTTACTTTTTTGTGCCTCTAATACTAGTATTAGCCAAAAACTTTTGTTTTCATGGAGAACACATGCTCAATAAAAATATAACTACCAAGTACAGGTAGCTTTAGAAAAATTGAACCATAATAGTAATGATAATATTTATGATAACACATCATTTATTGAGTGTATGCTATGATCAAAAACTGAGTTGAATATTTACACAGAGTGTTCTTTTTCCCTAAAAATCCTAAAAGATATGATTACTGAACACCATTTACAGGTGAGAAAATTGAATTTCATATAGGTTGAGCTAACATTCTTGGTCACACAGAGAGGAAGCAATGAAGATGGGATTCTAACTCGTGTTTCCTGGATTTCAAATGGCTTGCTCTTTGCTCTATGCCTAGATGTTTCTTAATTTCACTGAGTGCCTAGTAGGTCTGGTAAAGAGGCTGCATTTCTTTTCAGAAGCTGTAGCCAGACCATAAATCCTTCCTTTTGTTCTCTTTTTGGGCCTGTTTTTCAGAAATACACAAAGAAACCAGCTCTGCTCCCACTCAGCCTCAGCCTGTGTAGGGTCCAGTGGTAATTCACCTTTGCATTCCCTATCTTATGGACCAGATGTTGATTCTAAATATCATCTGAACAGTTTACAACACGGAAGTTCATAGTCCAATACACTTTTGCCACAGCTGTAAATATTTAAAATACTTATGCTTTGGGGTTTGATGGCAGAGTCAAAAAAAGAGATATTCTAGAAATGGCTTTAGTACTTATAACACCATTGAGATCCTAAATGACTACTTTAAAAATGAGCAAATCCTAAGCTGGCCTTGATATGCAGCTTGGCCCCTCCAGTGTTGATCTCTTTGTACCTCCAAACATGTAGCTCAGGTCTGGTCACAGGCAGTGTCTGACATTGACCTGCACTGGATTCCCTCCTAAGATAAGGTGACCAGACCTTTGGAATCTTTCCAAAAATCGGGACTTTTTAAAAACGCCTCAGGACTCCGGACAAATTGTTAAAAATCGGGACTGTCCCGCCAAAAGCGGGACGTCTGGTCACCTTATCCTAAGAGGCCCCAGAACGAAAACACTCAATGGTGGGCTTCAGACCGCATAAGAACAGGACCTAATTAGCTCTACAAGCGATACAACCAAAGGGACATTTCATTTGGCACCCGAGAATGAATTCCACTTCACAGGGTCAGCCCCTGTACAGAAGCTCATATGCTGTGGTCAGGGCCAATCCTCATTGTCAGCCAGCCTGAGGGTCAACCCCACCCACAGATGAGACTCATCTACAGCTCTGACTGGTTATCTCAATGGTTAGTGCGTTGGCCCAAGGACTGAAGGGTTGTGGGTTGGATTCTGGTCAAGGGCATGTACTCCATCCCTGACCCCAGTTGGTGTGTGTGTGGGAAGCATAAAGTTGATGTGTCTCTCACATTGATGTTTCTGTCTTTCCCTCTCTCTTCCACTCTTCCTAAAAAAATTAATGGAAAAAATCCTCGGGTGAGGATCAACAGGAGGCCTCACATAACCCACACAAACACCTCGCTCAGGTGATCAGGGAGACTGCACTGAGCCCCATGGGATACCTATCTACTACATACGGCCATCCTACCAAGACCGGGAGACATAGCAGATATACCTAATACACAGAAACGAATACAGAGAGGCAGCCAAAATGGGGAGACAGATAAACATGCCCCAACAAAAGAACAGGAGAAAACCCCAGAAAAAGAATGAAATGAAATGGAGGCAAACAATATTACTCTGCCTTTAAAAGAAGGAAATATTATCATTTGTGACAGAGGTTAATTGTATTAGGTGAAATAAGTCAGTCAGGGAAAGACAAATAGCATATGATTTCACTTACGTGTAGAATATATTTATAAATTAAAAAAATAAGTAAACAAAAATTGCAACAAAATAATACAGAGATCGGACTGATGGGTACCAGCGGGCAAGGGGGTTGGGGGACTTGGGTGAAAAAAGGTGAGGAGATTGAGAAATACACATTGGCAGTTATAAAATAGTCACAGGGATGTAAAGTACAGCATAAGAATAATACTCAAAATCATGCCAAAACCGGTTTGGCTCAGTGGATAGAGTGTTGGCCTGCGGACTGAAAGGTCCTGGGTTCGAGTCCAGTTAAGGGCATGTACCTTGGTTGCGGGCACATCCCCAGTAGGGGGTGTGCAAGAGGCAGCTGATCGATGATTCTCTCTCATCGATGTTTCTAGCTCTCTATCTCTCTCTCTTCCTCTCTGTAAAAAATCAATAAAATATATTAAAGAAAATAATAATACTCAAAATCAATAATATTGCAATAACTATGGAGGTGTCAGGTATGTACTGGAAATATTGGAACATTTTGCAAAGCATGTGATTATCTAACTACTATGCTGTACACCTGAAACTAATACAAAACCATAGTGAATGTAAAATGTAATTGAAAAAAACGTGTCACAGTTTACTTACATAGCAAATTCGCAACCATGCTTTTATAAATTAAGCTGCTTTGTAAGTGCTATGTATCTACATCTTTTTTTTTTCACGTGCAAGGCAGTTAGTTTCCTTAACATAAAGCTCTAGACGTAGAAATGCTCAAGTCACAGGACGTGTGTGAGTTTGAAGGCTCATGTGTTCGGATTTACCAATTCTTTTGTCACCTTTCTGGATATCCGTGATGCTTAAATAGCTTTGCAATTCTTCAGACCCTAAAAAAAAAGCTTTCACGCACCTTTGGGGAGAGTACAGGTTCTCTTAAGGCAACTGAGGCATCTGTACTGTGAAGAAGATGTGGAGGGGCAATCAGCAGGTGAAATACAGGGTTGAGAACATTCCTAGACAAAGACCAAGTTGTTTTTTTTTGGGGGGGGGGAGGGTGGAGAGAAGATGGAAAATTCCTTCTGGGACTGGGAAGCAACCTTCCACTCCCAGTGGGGTGGAGCTTGCGGTCGAGGGAGGGCTGGAACCACGGGCCACGTGACGCACATCGCTGTGCAAGTAGTGTGGACTGTTATCACGCATACCATTGCGGCTTGGACTGGCTTGCGGAGTTGACCCAGCGGAGGTTGTGTGTAGGTGGCCTTGGAGGTACTTACCTTTTTCATTCCCTTTCTGGTTCTGCAAGGAGGCTCTGTGCTGTCTGGTGGCAAGTGTAAGTGTGAACGGGTGGGAATGAGTGCGTGTGAGGAGAGCAGTAGCGGGCTTCAGGTGCATTCCGCGGCCTCAGAGGAAGGTCTTTTAGGTTGTGGTCTCTCTCCTTTCAGGTATCTCGGCCACCATGGGCCTTGTGTCTGGACCAGGGCAAGGGAGGATGGTGGGCTGTGGAGGGTCTTAGGGGCTTTATTTGAGGTGCTTGAGTCCTGGAGTCTCCGGGAACCGCAGACAGGACAAACTCCGAAGCCGCCCATGGAGCCCGTGAGGGGGGATGGGGATACTCGTCCACGCGGCGCGCGGCGCGAGGCTCTGTGCGCATGCCCAGTGCAGGGCCTTATGAGTCATCGGTTTGGCGGTTGTGCAAGGTTCCGAGTGCGGAGCTCTGCGGTTGGCGCCTCGAGGTCGAGTTTCTTTCTCGTTGGGCTGAGTGAGACTCAACTTCCACTGGTAAGTCCACTGGTCAGTCCTCCCAGGAGCGTGAGTGTGAGGAGAACCTGCCGGCCTCTTGCTTGGTGGGGTGGTGCGCTCTGTGGCCTGTGAGGAGAAGAGTCCTCGAGGTCGTCCTCTCTCCACGGGCATCACGGCCGCCATTGGCCGTTGCGTGGCAGGGCTGGGACGAGGAGGGATGGTGGGCTGCGCGGGGCCGGCGTCTAATGGAGATGGGGAGAGTCTTGGGGGTGGTGTTGAAGGTATCTGACTCTTGGAGGCACCTGAAACTCCGACAGGGCACAGAATCGGTGGTCGTCGGTGGAGAGCTGGACGTGGCGATCTATTGCAAAATCTGTTCATACGGGAGAGTCTGGTCGTGAAACTAAATCTCTTTAGTAAAGTCGTACTTTTTCAAAGTACTTGAAAGGTCCCTCTCTGCCTAATGGGCGGTGAGAGAAATAGCGTTGAATACCATGTGTTTAGAACACGGCAGTTATTATTACTATTTTTATGGCAGTTACTAATTCAAGACTTATTTTGGAAATCTAACCAAATGTAAAAAAGCATTTATAATCACCAGTTGGTCAGGTAAGTAGCCCAGGATAATGATTATTTTTCACCACATCTTTGGTTGATGATTTTTTTATTTTTATTTTTTTACTTTCAGTGGAAAAATGAATGCAAGACTGAGATCAAGATCTAGAGGAAGACCGGATGGTCAAGAGTCCTCTGATCAAGTTAAACCTGCGGTTGTGAGTGCTTTAACATTAACTTCCATTCAGAAAATTTAATTTTTCTGTTAAAAGTTGTTGTACCAATACATATTTGTTGTGTAAAGGACCTCATTGCTGAAACAGGTGAAAACTAAATGTTATGAATGAGACATTGAGCAAGGAGACTTATATTCTGGTGTTGCCTGCGTATGTATATCAATATGAGCCTAGAAATCATCCCTATCATGTTTATTAATAAATGGCTCACAGCCCAGAAAAGATTAAAATCGCTTTTAGAATTCTTGTTCCTTGCAGATAACCCCTTCCTTAGAGCAGTTTATTTATTATTATTATTATTATTATTATTTTTTTGTATAGAAAGAGTAACTATATTAAGAGTGCTTACAAAGAAAAGTGTAGGGAAAACCTTTTTAGGTTTCTGATTAGTTATGCAATGTATATTTGTGCCTTCTATTGTCATAGTAGTGAAAAGAATACTTTTTATTTGTATGTACTTTCCCATAAGGCCCAGCAACCAACTGATAAGAAAACTGAAGAGGAACCTGCAGTTGGGGCTCCGAATAAGGAACCTGGACAAGAGAAAGAAGAGGGAGTACCTGTGGTGAAAGGTGAAAAGGATGAAGGAACATTTTTGTGTTTTATTTATGATGTTTTACACTAGTAACAGCAATAAATAAAGGGTTGCCCTGAAAAGGGGCTGGAAACCTACGTGGTAAGGAAAGGTATAATTTGCAACTGTAGTCCCTTTCTCAGAATTTTCCCTCTGGTAAGTTTCTGCATCCCATATTTAAAATTATTTGGTATGCCTGGAAAATACAATCCTTGCCAAGGGTCTATATCAACAAATCAAATGAAATATTAAATCTAGGCAAAATTATACACGATTTCACTAAACTTGTTCATCTTGAAATGTTGTTTTGGGGGCTTCTTAAGTCATTGCATGCACTGGCAGGTGGCGAGAATTGAACCTGCAACCCTTGATGGGGAATCGAACCTGAGACCCTCCAATACAGCAGGTTGATGCTCTAACCATTGGGCATGCTGACCAGGGCGTATATTCACTTTTTATTTATTTTTATTTATTTCTCCATTGATTTTTTAGGGAGAGTAGGAGAGAGGGAAGACAGAGAGAAACATCGATGTGAGAGAAACACATCAGTTGGTTGCCTCCTGTATGAGCCCTGACCAGGGACAGAGTGGGGAGAAGTCTGCAACTGAGGTACCTGCCCTTGACCAGAATAGAACCCTGGACCCCTCAGTCCTCAGGCTGAAGTTCTAGCCACTAAGCTAAACCGCTAGGGCTCATTTTACTGTTTGTAAAGACTTTTTTCCTCCCACTCATTTGTCAGGGCTTGCTTGGTGGCAGGTGAGGTACTAGGTGCTGAGGATATACATAGAAATGAGAGAATGGTTTCTGTCTTGGGCTCACAATCTTGTCAGAGAAATTTGTGTAAACAAATAGCTAATGATATATTTGCAATAATACAAGTGTATATGGTTTACAAAGGGGACAGCTAAGTTATTTTCAAACAGTTTTAGTGAAAGAAACACTTAATAGTGGAGGTAATACGAGAAATAAAATTTTATTTTCTACCAGAAAAACCCTTGAATGCTCATGGCTTTCAGATGTATCACATTTATTGCAATAATAACCTACAGAACTTTATTTAATAGCATTAATGTGCGGTTTACTACTTATATTAATAATTCTCTTATATAAGAACCTGAAATGGAAGGTGAAGGCCAGAAAATGGCTCAGGGAGAGGCTCAGGATGAGCGTGATGAGCGTGCAGATGGCAGTGATTCGGATGAGAATCCAGCTATTCTGGTGCCTGTTATGATTCCAAAAGGTATGTTATCCATTAAGAATACAAGTCATGGGGTTGCTCTATTCTACAATAGTATTATACTTTTGTAACACAACACCACATAAAAGATTTATTGAAAGGGTGTTCATGCACCAAATACTTGAGACAGTGTCAGGAAAAACGGTGAATTAAGTCACAATCATGTTGTTAAATTATAAAACACGAAAGTATTATTACTTTGGAGTAGAAGTCCTTTAAAATGCAAGACAGGTGATCAGATACTCTTTAGAGTTTATAAATTATTTAACATACCATAGTACTATTTGGATATCTAAACAACACAATAGTAGTAGTATTTTTTTTTTTATTTGCCAGATCTGTTTCTCAGAAATCACTTTATCTTACAGACACAGAAAAATAATATGGATCTTTATTATTCTAGGTTGGCTTGTTGGTATTTTAAAATTGTGAGCCAGGCTGAGAAATGGTACTATTTTTTTCCACATTTGAATGGCATCTAGGATTACATTAAAACTAGTGTGACAATGTAATTTTTATCATTCAAACCAGGGCACTCTTGAGAGTGAAAAGGGGGTGCTATGATTACTTACATTAGGACAACAGGTGCAAGTGAAATAAATGGCCACCTTACTATAAATAGGCCATATAAAGGTTGATCTAGATCAATTAGATATGTTTGCACAAAAGAGACAACCCAAATGCAGTGCTCTTCTTTGTACTCTTTTTAATTAAGTAGTATGACATCATTATTTTCACTAATGTATATAATTAGAAGAATATTTCAAGTCAATGCATTGGAATAATATTATTTGTTTTGCTTCTTGGAGTTTTTGTTTGGTTGCTTTTATTTTAACTATAATCATTGGCAGTTTTTGCTCTTCATTAAAAAAGTTATCTTTAAAAGGGCTCATAGGATTTGATTTTCTGGGCTTGAGAAATACGTTTCTTCTTACTACCAAAAAGTGAAGCATTTAAAAAAAAATTGTGTTCAAATGCCTGTAAGTGTACATTAGCATAGAAGTCTGTGCAGTGGTTAGGGTTCTGATTTTAGTTTCATCTTATAAAACCAAAAGTATAATATTCTTTGTATACCTTTATTATCATGTAAGTAAAAGTCTGCTATGTAATCTATACAATTGTTGTGTTTATGTTTTAGACGATGGCCAGTGAGAAGTTAAAAAGAAGACAAGCCCAAGCCATACACGCTGCTCTTATATTGCTAATAAGGCTTGTTCAATTATCCCAATAAAGCTTTACATTTGTCATGCACATCTTTTGTTGAATCTATTTCTAGGAGCTTGACATCATTGTAAATGGTATCTTTAAAAAAAAACTTCATGTTCTATTTAGAGCTGGTCTATAGAGGTGTTGTGTGACTAACTTTATAACTGGCAGTTTGTACTTAATCTCTTCACATTTTTCACCCATCTCCCCACCACTTCTTTTCTACTCTTCAGTTTGGATAAGTTTTTATTTTTATTTTATTTTTTAAAAATATTTTTATTGATATCAGAGAGGAAGGGAGAGGGAGATAGAAACATCAATGTTGAGAATCATTGATCAGCTGCCTCCTGCACATCCCCCCCCCCCTCCGATTAAGCCCACAACCCAGGCATGTGCCCTTGACCAGAATCTAACCTGGGACTCTTCCGCAGGCCAAACCGGCTAGGACTAAGTTTTATTTTTATAGGACTGTGGCCATGTTATCTAAAATTCATTACACACAGTTTCCTATAAACCCTCTCATTATCCCCCCCAACTTCATTCTTAACACTAATTTAATAATTTGTACCTTCTCTCTTGCATTTTAATCAGTCTCACCAGATGTTTACCAATTTTATTAGTCTTTTCAAAATAAACCCAACTTTTGGCTATTCTGATCCTATTCCATTTTTGTTTTATATTTTGTCTCTCACCTGCATATTATTTCTTCTATTTTGTTTATTGCTTTTTCTAACTACTATGGTAAATGTTTAGTTCATTAAGTTCAGCCTTTATAAGGTACACTTTTAAATTATAACATTCTCTATATAGGACTTGAGCTTCATCCACAAGTTTTGATACATACTATTTTTGTCATTCAACTCAAAATATTTTCTGATTCTTATTCTGAGTTATTTGGCTTACAGATTACTTCTAGGTGTGTTTCTTAACTTTGAACATTTGAACACTTTCTGTCTTTGTGTTATGCAGCACAAATAACTAATGTAGCTATTTACAAGAGATACAGCTAAAACATAAGAATTCAGAAGAGTTGAGAGTGAAAGGATGGACAAAAGATTTTTCACATAATAGCAAAAATAGGATTAAAGATAAGCATTGTAGAAATAAAGAACAGCTGATAGAAAACTTCATCAGGAAAATTTAACAACTTTATGAACCTAATAGCATGGCTTCAAAATGTAATGGAAAAAATGGGCAGAACCACAAGGAGAAATTAGTAACAATAAGCAGACAAAAATCAGTAATAATATGTAAGATTTGCAAATCATGATTGCTTTTCATCACTGGATATTTCATGTCAATTCCTTCTGGCCTGAAATGTTTCTGTTGAGAAATCAGCTGATAGTCTTCAGGGAATCCCCTCATAGGTACTGCTTTTCTATTATTTTATTTTTGGTTAATCCTCACCTGAGGGTATTTTTCATTGATTTTTAGGGAGAGGAAGAGAGAGGGAAAGAGAGAAACACATTGATTGGTTGCCTCCTGCAGGAGCCCTGACCAGGGAGCCTGCAAGCAAGGTATATGTTCTCTTTAGTGCAAGAATGCTGTGGAGGGGTTTGGGATGCGAACGGGGGGACGAGGACAATTATGTGATACCATAATCAAATTTTTAAAAAATTAAAAATGTTGTGAAGAAAGGCTGGCTTGATGTGATAATCTCTTTTGCCATCTTGTGGTCAGTATATGCCATGCAGGAACATTAATGCCAATAAGAAGCATGTTTTCAATACTGTGTAGGTGAGTGAGTTCTAGTCTTATGGGGTGGCAGACCTATGACTTTTAAAATAAAAAAAGAATACAAACAAGTAAGTATAAATAGGTAGCTAGATAAGATTTATAGTCCTCTACTGTAATCATCTTTGCTTTCAGATCTGGATCCCCAGCCCTGAAAATGTGGATGAGAAACAATGTATTGACTGGTTTCTGCATATTTTAGGGTCTCTCTTTATCCACCAGGCTTCTTAGTTGAAAGCACAGAATCCATTATAGCTTTTTTAAGTGGAAAATAATTTCTTTTTTATCATATTTTTTAATTAAACATTTTTAGAAAGGATAGTTTTTAAAATGCCTATTAGGTAGAGCACAAGGAAATCTCCAACAGGCGAGAGAATCTGACTTGGGGGCAAGCAGCCACAAGTTGGTGCAATCTCGATTCCTCTGGGCACAACCACTGCTGAGATTGAACCCAGGACTGTGTCATTAGGACATTTAGTACAGGTGCCTGTGAAAACTTGGTATCTCATGACCATGCTCTACCATTTTACCAGCTATTGGTTCCACTGAACAATTGTCTCCTATTTCTGTTTCCTGACCCAAAATCTTGATGGGGAACATCTGATTGGTGGAGCCTAGGGCTCACACCTCTCCCCTAGGCTGAGTTCTGGTTTCCACCTTAGAGAGGTAGGATTCTTAATTCAGAGACCCCACCCCCCAATTTAGAAAAATTATTCAAAAGAGGCTGGATAGAGTAGGGACAACATCATGTCCTAGGGATAGGATATTGAGTGTCTGCTTCAGAATCACGTGTCCCCGACTAGCAATTGGTTCTAGTTCTGGTTCAGGCACTACTGGGCATCCAGATCTGTCTAAATCTGCGGTCAAGTTCTATAACAATTATCTAGGGAGCAGAGCATGGTAATACCAGATGGGAGGGTTCTTTTAGGCTGGGCTCTCCATGCGGGCAGGGACTATATCTGTCTGGTTTGCCAGCAGTTTGGTACTCCAATACATGAGTGAACGAATGATGGAATAAATAAATAAGCTTGCCACTCTCCTTATGCAGTTATAAATTTTCACTGAGATAGGTAGAGCCGCTCATACCAAGCTACAACTTCATGTAGGGTTTCTGACTCCCCTCTAGAAGGGTTCTGTTTGAGCACACAGATTCATTGTCTCCATTCAGATGGAAAGGACAATCAAGCATGTGCCTACAGATTTACTGTCCACCCAGATACTTTCTTGAAGAACATTCTGTGCTTAGCACATACTTCCCGGAGGACTACGTGCAGTATTCTGACAGTGGAATTTCTCAAGATTCTTGGGTCTGACGGCCTATTGGAAGTGAACTTTTACATCTAGCCATGGGCTTAATTAAGCCAGTGGCTTCAACACTTGCTATACCCATCACTGAGTGGTAAGTCCCCATCTCTAGTTATGACTATTGAAAGGCAAAGACCACCAGAGGGAGTCATGACACTTCCAGGTTGGACCCCACTCCCAAACTCTGCTCTGGAAAACAGAGCACTATGTTTTCATATGCAGGGCGCTATGCCTCTCCGGTCACCTGAGATGTGGAGAGTAGAGCACACCTACTGGAGCACTTTGGAACTCACTGAGCACTCGAAATGTGGTCTGTCGTCCCTCATCATTTCAGGGGTCTCCAAGACCACACACACTTTCAATAAATTCACTAGCACTCATGGGACTCAGTATATGATTGAATTTATGGATAAAGTTTACACAGCAATGGGATACACAATAATATTAGCAAGGAATAAAATATACAGATGGGGTCTGGAGAAATCCACTCACAGGCTTCTTTATCCTTGCCCTCTTGTGAGGGGGTATATAAAGCACACTCTTTCCTAGCAGTGGAAATGCACAATATGTGGGTGATGTTTTTGCCCAACAAAATTCATTCTTTACCTGAGGACTTTTTTTTTTTTTTCCATTGGGGGATGGTCACTAGAAACCCTATACTTAGCACATACCAAAATTCCAGACTCTCAGAAGGAAAACAGGTGTTCAGCAGAAATGACACTGTACAAACAGGTTAGGCACAGAAAATCCTTCCTTATTAATTAGGGAACAGGTCAAGTGTTGTATTGGTTTTCCATCACTGCTGTGACAAACGTAGAGGCTTAAATATACAAATTGATCTCACAGTTCTGTAAGTCAGAAGTTCAGCACAGGTCTCATTTGGCTAAAATTCAGGTATTGGCAGGGCTGCGTTCCCTTCTTGAGGCTATAGGGCAGGATCCGTGTCCTGCTTCCTCAGGTTGTTGGCAGAATTCAGTTGAGAGGTCCATGCTTTATTGCAGGCTATAAACTGAGGGTTGTTCCTAGCTTCTAGAGGCCAGCACATTCCTTGACTTGTGGCCCCTTCTTCCATCTTCGAAGTGAGAACAGTTAGTTGACTTTCTCAAGTCTCATTTCTGTCTAGGCCCTCTTCCACCATCTCATCTCTGGCTATAATTGGGAACATTTCCCATTTTTAAGGACTAATGTGATTAGATTATACCTACCCAGATAATCCAGGATAATACCGTATCATCTCAAAGTTCTTAACCTTAACTACATATGCAAAATCCCTTTTACCATGTAAAGTAACCTATTCATAGGTTCCAGGGAATAGGAAGTGAATATCTACCTTCCTTCCTTCCTTCCTTCCTTCCTTCCTTCCTTCCTTCCTTCCTTCTTCCTTCCTTTCTGTATCTTCACCCAAGGATATTTTCCCATTGATTTTTTAAAGAGAGTGGAGGGGAGGGGGAGAGACACACAGAGAGAAATATTAATGTGAGAGAGACACATAGGTTTCCTTCCACACAAGCCCTGACCAGGGCTGGGGATCAAGCCTGCAACCGAGGTACGTGCCCTTGACTGGAACTGAACCTAGGCCCTTTCAGTCTGTGGGCAGATGCTCTGTCCATTGAGCCAAACCGACTAGGGCAGGATATGAACATCTTTAGGCAGCCAGTATTTTTCCTGAAAGTGCCAAGTTCCCAGATGCCAGCCAAAGGCCAACCTTGAAAGTAGGCCTTTCTAAAGACAATATAAGGATGCTATATTAACTATTTTCTGCACACCATGCATATCTAAAGGTGACATCAGGATTCTAATAGCATGTGGCCATATGCTATTGTAATATCTTGGACTTCATAGATAACTAGACCCAGGGCCCAGCCCATGAAGCAGCCAGACACACTCTAATGAAAGGGCTGCCTTCCCCCCACTTTCAACCATGATAGGAGCTAAGGTAAAAGAAAGTGTTAGGCCATGGTGATTATTAGCACTGGGCTTGGCGGAAAGTATTCCAGTTCAAATTCTTAGCTATGTACCAAGAGCAAGTTACTTATTCTCTCTGATTCTCATTTCTCATCTCCTTAGAGGTATAACACCACTATCATACAGATTTAAATGAGAGAATGCACGTAACACATGTGTAAGATAATACCTTCCAGATCATAATGGCTAGTGGGCTAAGAGATGGGACACCCAATGGAAGCAAAAACAAGATTAAAATCTCTTATTTCTACATAGAGCTTCCTCTTGAGGGAGAAATAAGAGGCAGAGCCTCACTTTTAGGATCCACCTTGAATTTTTTTTCTCTTGAACCCTTATCTCTTTATTGACAAACTTATTTCTCTTTCTGTTAAAGTTTGACATTGTGAATTATTAACTTTTGTTTTTCATCTCCAGCTTCAGCTTGCCCTTGTACTCCTGGCCCTGTCTCAGACTCAGCAGGTCCAAGGCTTCTGCCCCAGAGTAGAATTATTTTAGCAGAAATGCAAATAGAATCAAAGAGCTCAAGATCAGCTATTGTGTTACAGAAGAGTCTTCAGAAAATTGACACAGAGAAAAAAGGACTAAAAGAAAGGCTTTTTGAGTTGTAGGACCTTGGGTCTTTTGAATACCAAGAGATAAGGACCTGGCCTATCTACAGGCATAAAAGAATACGTGGTCTGTCCAAAGGATTTCGAGTCATCCCAGACTACATAAAGCCCCCACAGCCTGAAGGGAGGACTAAAAGGGAGGCCAAGAGATACTGATTACATTCAAGGTCAGGGGATGCCAACCCTCAGTTCAGACTCCACTGGGCCTAAAAAAACACACACCATACATTCTCTTTCTTTTTCTCTTTTTTCCCCTTCCCTTTTCTTCCTTCTCTTTCTTCCTTTCTCCCTCTCTACTGTATTTGAGTTTCCTCATCTCCAAATATCACAGTGGTACAACCTGTAGGACCCGAAAGTTCACTCAATTAACTTTTAGTCTGGGCCTGAGGATTGAGAAAGAGGACTAGAGGCTCTTGTGTTCATAGAACGTTCAGTACCAGCTATCAGTGTAGCAGGGATTTGCATTAAAAGCCTGTATTATTAAAGATGTAGAGTTTGCCTGATGTGGTCCTCAGCAAATCACTTTACGTCCTCTGAGGTCTGGCTTGGTAGTCACTATCAGATGAAAACCCTGTTTCTCCCCTTACTAGTACATCCATGAGGTAACATCTAGGTCACAACAAGTAAACAAAACACACGCAGTCAGAGACAGAGCCACTTGCTCTGGGCTCAGTTGTTCACTGAGAAATGTCTGTTTTCCCATTTCTAGTGGATATGTGCCCGGCCAAGAAAGTGAGCAAAGGATAATGCCAGGATGGGATTTTGAGGGACTAAAATTGGGGCAGATTAAAATGGTTAACCACTCAGTGATGTCTAGTCCCTTCTGCCTGTAAATAATAACCCTCCATGGCTTCTACTTAACAATTCTCTGAATTTGGAGGGAGGCTTTATGTATCTACAGAAGAAAAGAAATAACAAAAAAAAGCCCTGTGAGCACTGTGTATCACGGTTAAGAACAAATGAATATTTTTCTTCTATCTAGATTGCATGGATGTACATCAGGGGGAACCACGAGTCCCACGGAATCACAAGCATACCTCAGAGACATTGTGGATTTGGTTCTAGATCTCCACAATAAAGCTGGGTGTAATGTTTTTGCTGATGGAGGGTCTTCAATTTGTAAAAAATGGAACACCTGTAAAGTGCAATAAAGCAAAGCACAATAAAATGAGGTATGTCTGAATAAGCAAACTACAGTGTACAAGTTTCTTTCTGTGTATTTTTCAAGGGAGAGGGGCTGTAGATGTGATCAGAATCTCAGGGGGTTCTGAGATGACAGTTTTGCAGGACAGCATCGTGGATCTATGCTTTATTAACTGGGCACCCAATGAACACTCATTTATAGTCTCCACGTCATGCCTTTCCTGCTGGTGGACTGGGAAAGACAATACCTTGCACACAGAGTTATTGTGAGGAATTAATTAGAAGGCGCTTTGTAAATAAATAGATTTTTAAATGGGGAGCATTCGTGTATTAGCCTTCCTTATGACCCCCAAATGAATAGCTCTATTACATAAACAGCAATGGATTAATATTTTGGCTAGCAGAGATACATATTTTTTTTAAAAAATGTATGTGTACATAGTTTATATGCGTCATGACATGTTTAATCCTATATTTTTCAAGGAATCTTTTTCATAGGTTATTTGGTATCGTGGTACCATTAAAACGAATGATGCTGCTGATAATGATAATTCCTTGTACTTGCGTAGCCTGTAGTCTTCTCATTTATCTCATGGTTGTTGACAAAGCCCTCCTCTTACTTTTGTAAATGAAATGAGGCTTTTGCTAGGTCTGCAGTGTTTGGTTGCCATGGTTTGAGTTCGTTTTATAAGCTGTTGCTTGGCAATCCCACGCGTCAGCTGGCTCTTTTCCTTAGCACTCTCACCACACACTGTCTGAAATATAATGAGATTGAGGCTGGAGCTCTTCCTACCTTCCCCCACAGTGTTCTTACCATGGTGCCTGATAGATGAGTTAAGAGCAGAGCAATGAAATGATTATGAACATGGGATTTAGAGTCACGTAGACCTGAGTTCAAATTCTGGCTCTGGATCTGGTGTGGTGCGTTCTTCAGGTATTCATTTAGAATCCTGTTTGAGTCTCAGTGTCCACAAGGATAAAGTGGAGGTGATAATAGCTCCTGGAATGGATGGGATATTGAGGGAGAAATTCCATTTAAAGCACCTACACATACTAGATGCGCAGTAGCTGTAACCTATGCTAATAAGGGAGATGGGAGGTTATGGAACCATAACTTTTCCTTTTTCTTTTTAAAAAATCTTTATTGTAACGTCTCTTGTTTTGCAGTAAAAGGCTCTGATGTAATAGTCAGTTTGGATTTAGTTTGTATAGTTAAATTCCACTTGCCTTCCTATGAAGAATGAGAGGGCCCACTGAAAATCTATAGAGCAAAATAAGAATTTATTAAAAAATCAGGACCAAGGAAAAGAACAGGGGGTACTATTACCAAAAGGAAGACATGTAGGGATGCAGCAGGCAGACTATATCAATAGATGTTCACTCTAGGTTGTGAGTGGGTACACACTCTGCATTCAAAGAGGCTGCACTGGGGAGGCCCCACTCCTCCCTAGACACAAAACCGCAGGCAGCTCTCAGAGTGAGAAAACCCTTGATTTGTAGCATTTGCCTATTTCCATTCTTTAAATATTCCTATTATGGCTGCTTTCAAACTATTGACATGCGTTTGGACAGAATGCGGAGTTGGAAAGAGATGCCTACAATCTACTCTCAGAAACCTGTGGAGTCTACTCTAGCACAGAACTTAATCCCTTCACTAGGAGCAGCTTTATGGTTTTTCTCAATGATGGACAGTCCCAACAAGCTCCTGTCTGTTTTTATAGCAGTTTGGGGAAGTTAGTTCTCAAGACTGCTCTTCTCTTTTTCAGTTTCCCCAGACTGGAAGGATATAACTGAGGAAATACAATAAATGTCTGTTGTACAGGCTCACATCTTTATAGGCTGGCTCCTGTACTTGATCTTTCCCAGGACCAGGAACCCATGACCTTCGTAGGATCCAAGGGAGACTTGGGAGCTAGGAATCACCTAGGTGAATGTCCTATTTGAGACAGAGTCTTTCCTTCAAAGTTATCTTCTTTTATCTTTTTTACATAACCCAACTCAAACACACTCCCCTCGTCATGGTTTTTCATATTCTTAGTCAGTTTTACCATGTACATGACGTTAGTATTTTTATATTAGTCACCAACCAGTTTTTAAATTAATCATTTTAAATTACTAGTAATCTGTGCCACCATACAACTTCTTCATCCAATAGAACTTCAGTATACTTCTCTGATTCTGATAGCTTTAGTAGACAGACCACAGTGGGGGTTTGAATTTCCCTATGGACTGATTGGTTTCAAGTGTCAGTGATTTTTTTAAAATCTTTTTTATTTTTTATTAAATTATTATCTGTGTACGTATTTTAACATTGCCCTCCCCCCCATACATACCTCTCCTCCCCAGAGTTTTGTGTCCATTGGTTGTACTTATATGCATGTATACAAGTCCTTTGGTTGATCTCTTATCTCCCCGAGATCTCCCTCCCCTCCCCTCTGTAATTTGACAGTCTGCTTGTTGCTTTACTGTCTTTATATCTATCTTTTGGTTCATCAGTTTATAATGTTCTTTATTATCCATAAATGAGTGAGGTCATGTGGTATTTCTCTTTCATTGACTGGCTTATTTCACTCAGCATGATGTTCTCCAATTCTATCCAGGTTGCTGCAAATGATGAGAATTCCTTTATTTTTAGATTTTATTTTATGGCAGCATAGCATAGTCAGTCAGTGATTTTAATTTACAAGAATAGGCACATTGACCAGCTTTTGGTCAAAATATACTGTATATGTTTTACATTTTACTTGGTCCATAATTTGTATTTCCTCCCCACTCAGCATCTGGGCATTGTCCAGGTGAATGGCTTCTGTAGTTATAGTGCCCCAAAATATAGTTCATCCCCTATAAATCAGCTAGCTAGACAATACCAGGAGATTTATTTTGTACTGATAGTAGAAGAGAAAATTAGATTTAATATTCACAACTTTCTAAGGAGGGTAGGTCCTCCTTTAAAAATATAATTTTATTTTATTTTATTTTTTTTAAAAAATATATATTTTATTGATTTTGTACAGAGAGGAAGGGAGAGAGATAGAAAGCTAGAAACATCGATGAGAGAGAGTCATCGATCAGCCGCCTCTTGCACCCCCCCCCCACCGGGGATATGCCCGCAACCAAGGTACATGCCCTTGACCGGAATCGAACCCGGGACCCTTCAGTCCCCAAGCCGACGCTCTATCCATTGAGCCAAACTGGTCTCGGCTAAAAAAATAATTTTAGAGAGAAGAATGAAGGGAAGGAGGGAGGGAGGAAAGGAGGGAGGTAAGGATAGAGGGAGGGAGGGAGGGAGTGAAGAAGAGGAGGAGGAGGAGGAGGAGGAGGAGGAGGAGGAAGAGGAGGAGGAGGAGGAAGAGGAGGAGGAGGAGGAGGAGGAGGAGAGAGACCCATTTGAGAGAGAAACATCGATTGTAGGGGCCCTGACCAGGGATCAAATCCAACAACTTTTGGTATACAGGACAATGTTCCCACCACTGAGCCATACCAGTCAGGGTGAGGGTAGGCCCTCTTAACAAAAGAATTTGAGGGGGTGAAGGCTAGTGACCAAGTCATCAACCTCAATATAATTAATTGCCTGCCATAGACCTGAGGGGTGTTTTTAGTAATGAGTGAAGTGTACAAGTTTGGAGGGAGAAGCTAGAACAGACTTAAATTTCCCTGGAAGAATAAAAGGAGAGATCAAGAGGATCTGGGCAAGATCCCCGAGGGAGAGAACAAAGCCAGGGAAAATGAAAGGCTGTTTCTGAGATGGTGCAGGTGGCAGGAAGGAGGGGGAATCTGATCTTTGGAGACTAAAAGGAAAGATTTGGGAGGAGAAATAACGTTTCCTGGGGATTTTCCAGCTAAATTCTGTGGGAGCA